GACAGAGGAGTGGGAGGAGGCGGCGCAGTTGTGGCGAGCAGAGCACGGTCCCAGTGCTGGCGTCCCCTGACCTCACCCCTGGACGAGGCTGCCTCTTGAGCTTGAGCACAAGTGCCAGGCCCCCAGTTTCCAGGTTCCCTCGGGTCAGCTTTGAGGTCAGTGTCGGCCGTTCCTGTCCACGCAGCTGTGGGCTGAGGGCTCAGGCCGCCAGGACTGAGGCGTCCAGTGGGGCTCACGGGGTGGCCACCGTCTTCACTCTAGCAGTGTGCGCAGAAGTACCTGAAGCGTGGGCGTGCAGGTGCCCATGAGCACCTTGGGGCGGTCTCCATGGTGTCGGGGCCGCGTGGGGGGGACATCCCCTTGAATTCTCAGGCAGGGTCGTTTTCACCTCGGTGAGGACAGTCTTGGTGGGGGTGCGGCCACTGGGTCAAGGTGCTTTGTGGGGCTTGTGTCCTGAGCCCGCGAGTGCCCCGGGCTCCATAAATGCTGTGTGAGAGGCAGCTGCAAACCCTGGGCCGAGCTTGGGTCCTCGCTGGGGTCCAGGGAGGGGAGGCGAGTGCGCAGGCGCCTCAGTGCCATGGGGAGCCCCCAGCGTGGGCGGGGCACATGTGTCTCTGCCGTCACAGCCGGTCCCTCTCTGCTCCGCTGCTTTCCTCTCGCCTTAGACGCCCGTCTCCAAGGTTGGGTTCTGTTCCAGCAGCCTGTGTGCCCTTGGGCACGGGGGTGATGGTCAGGGCTGCTTCCTGGAGGAGGTGCGGCAGGGTGGCTGCAGAGCCCAAGACCACCTGCCGGGAGCAGGGATCTGGTAGGCCTTTGAGGAGGCCAGAGGCCCCGTGCGCTGTTGGGCAGGAAGTTGTGGGGTCCGAACGTGTGGTGAACCATTGGCGTGCTAGTCTGTGCTGTCGGGGTTGCTGCACTGGGCCTGTCACTGACGGGATGACAGCGAGCCTCCAGCAGCCCGGGACTCAGGCCTTCCACATCAGTACGTCTTCTTGCGAGTTCCGTGAGTGGCAGACGGAGGTGGGGGGGCAGAACCCCGACTGGTCCTGATTCGTGACCCCCTAGCCTTAGCCAGCCCCAGGCCGTGGCATGTATGTACCTGGGGCGCTCAGGAGTCTCCGGCTGTGGACAGACTTTCCGTGTCAGACGGCCTCTCAGCATCACGCTTCTCTGCTGGCCCGTACCTATACCTGATCCTTTAAAAATTCAGGTTTCTCAATTCTGATTTCTCTGAAGAAAAGGCAGCTCCGACGTAGGGGTTTGAAATGGGTTTTCTAGACTACAGAGTTCATCCTTTTGGGGAACTTGCTGACGCCGTGCTCAGACGGACTCGTGTGCTTCGCTCCAGTTCTGGAAGATTTGCCCCATGGACCACATTCTGGCTCGCCTGGAGATAGACTCCCGCCCCGTGGCTCGGCGCCTGGTGAGCCTCATCTTCAACTCCTTCCTGCCTGTGAACCTGCCGGAGCGGGCCTGGTGCGAGCGCTGCGTCACGCTGCTCCAGATGAACCCTGCAGCTGCCAGAAGGTTCTATCAGCACGCCCATGAGCATACCGCCTGCACCAACATAGGTGTGTATGCTGCCCTGCTTTACGCCGGCGGGCCCTTCTCCAGGCCTCCCGCCTCGCTGCTCTCCCCACAGCGTCCCCAACACGAGCGGGGAAGTGTCTGGGGCTCGCTTTGTGGAAGCGCACAGCCTCACTCTTGCTTTCTTGCTGTTTCAGCAAAGCTGATCCATGTCATCCGCCATTGCCTCAATGCCTGCATCCGAAAGGCTGCCAGAGAGTGCGAAGGGGGCGACGCGGAGAGGGAGCCCCAGGACCTGAGTGTAAGTGCGCTCCCCTGGAAGTCCTGGCCCTCCTGTCCCTGCCTGCTTCTGCAGTGGTGGGATTCAGACAGGCTCTGTGTCACTCCTGTCGGAGTCGCAGCATGTCTGGGCCCTCCTTGCTGAACCCAGGGGGTCACAGAGAGTGGCTGTGTCATCTGTGCTGAGCCCAGGGGGTCACAGAGAGTGGCTGTGTCATCTCCTCTGCTTTGCCACCTGACCTGAGGTAGCACAGCTGGACTGGCTTCTGGCATCCCTGAATTTTGCAGTGAGGGAGGAGTGTGCCCCTCTAGCCACCTCCATGAAGTTGTAGAAATGTCTCGGTGGATTTCTGGGGCTGAGTGTCATTTGGAATGATTTCCTAAAAAGTCCAATTCGTTGATGTGACCCTAACTGCCGTTTCTTGAGAACCCAAAGTGACCGGTTATACCAGAACGCTGGTGTTTGGGGCTTAGACGCCCCTGACCCAGCCACCGAGGCTCAGGCAGTGAGAAGCCAGCAGGGCCCGTACACTGCGACCCTGGCTGGACAGGCGGTGGGGGCTGCAGCGCCCTGACACCCTGCCCAGGCCCGGGTCTGTCTGGTGTGGGGTCATCCGTGACAGCGGCATTGCCCTCTGAAGAGAAGGCAGTAGCACGTTACCACGCACGAGCGGTGCTTACGTTACAAGCCACTTCCTCTGTGGCTGGCGGGGCTCAGCTCGCGGCGCCCAGCCGAGTCAGGGACTGGACTAAGAGGAAGGCACAAAACCAGCTCAGCCTTTGGCTGTGGAGAGGCTCTTGTGTGTTCATGGCCTGGGCTGACCCCACCCCAGTTCTGCAGCTGACAGGGCTCTGCCTTGGCCCTGCCTGTCCCATGGTGGCTTCCCTGTCAGTTCCTGCCTGCGTGTCTGAAAGACAGAGTGGTGATGTGGGCCCAGCACCCCCATGGCCACCAGCCATGCCTGTTGCTTGCTGGTTCTGCCACCAGCCAGCCTCTCTGGTGGAATTGTTCAGATGTCCTTTGAAAGAGAAGAGGCGAGTGTGAGGCGTTCTGTCATCACGCCCCTGGCCAGTGGCATCTGCTGGCCACGGCCTTTCAACCTGGCCTAGGAACTGTGCCCAGAGCCTTGGGGGAGGTTATGCTGATGGTTTAGATGGAACTGGAGTCCCTTCTTTCAGGCTCCCTGGCAGGGGGCTGGGGCATGGTTTTCTGGAGGGCACCATCTGTCAGGTGCTCTCTCCAGACCTCAGTGGGGATATACAGTGTTTGTCTTTCATAGTCTATATCCTTCCACTCTGAATCAAACGATAGGGCCTCCTAGTAATATTCCATAGGATATATGTGCCTCCAATTTTTTAAACCAGTGATCAGTTTTTTGGACACTCGGGTTGATTCCGTATCTTGGCTGTTGTGAATAGTGCCGCAATAATCGTGGACTTGCAAATGTCTTTTCGCAGTGTTTTCCTGTCCTTTGGGTAGACACCCAGGAATACCATTGCTTGGTAATACA